ATGTTAACTCTGTTTTCTCCTCCACAGATGCTGCCAGACCTGCTGAGCTTTTCCAGCAACTTTTTTTTTGTCACTTGTTGATTCTTCTTTTTTCCTTACCCTTTTGGACATTCGCTCTGGCTCTCAGCCGCTTGCCAAGCACTTGTAACTACATTTCCAGCATTATAGGCTATATCTCACTCTGGGTGTATCTTCTCCCAACTGCTCATGTGAAGGGTACTGATTGCCTTAGAGCCCTTTTGAATGAGGCAATGAGAATGAGACAAAGACTTGATACAACTTCATTTTCACAAAAAGCTGATTTATATTATTTTTATCCCAAATAGGTAACTGAATTTGTGGTGTTTACAAACATCAGAAATAGGTCCAGAAAACAGAGTTTGGATATAGATAATAATAGCATAAAAATCCAACACCGACAGTTACTAGGGAACTCATTATTGTTTAACCAATCTTGATGAGCCACAAAATCATTTCCAAACAACATGCAGGTGGACAATCTTTATGCAGTGTAAATGCATTGATATACAGCCACATAGGTTTTGAAAATAATCACAATCTTACAGATACACAATTGCATCAACACTATCTACCATAATCAGCACGTTTAATAGAGCAGGGTTTGATAATATCAATACAAAACAGCCCAATGAGCACAATTAATTCTTTGGTGTGAGTAAGGGCAAAATCCTTCATTTGTGGTTCTTTGTGAATTTGCTGGTGTGTTAACAGACAGCAAAAAGTCTTTTACACTAAAACAGCTGGTTAAAAGGAATCAACTCTGTCATTTCACTGGTGTGGTAACAGTTTGGGTGACAGAGTGAATCCCTTCACACAAAAGGAGAAGTGAATGGTCTGTCCGTGGAGTAAATAGGCTGGTGTATCAGCAGGGGAGTCAACTGAGTGAACGTCTCCCCCCAGTGTGAACTTGCTGGTGTCTTCGCAGGTTGGATGACTTGGTAAATCCCTTCCCACAATCAGAGCAGGTGAATGGTTTCTCTCCAGTATGAACACGCTGGTGTTCCAGTAATTCAGATGAGCAAATGAATCCTTTTCCACATTCAGAACAGGTGAATGGTCTCTCTCCAGTGTGAACCCGCTGGTGTTTTAGCAGGTTGGATGACTGACTGAATCCTTTCCCACACAGGGAGCAGGTGAATGGTCTCTCCCCAGTGTGAACTCGCTGGTGTATCTGCAGGCTGGATAACTGAGTGAATCGCTTCCCACATTGGGAGCAGTTGAACGGTTTCTCTTCAGTGTGTACTCGCTGATGTACCAGCAGATGGGATGACTGAGTGAATCCTTTCCCACATATGGCGCAGGTGAATGCTCTCTCCCCAGTGTGAACATTCTGATGTCTCAGCACATGGGATGACCGAGTGAATCCCTTTCCACAAACAGAGCAAGTGAATGGTCTCTCTCCAGTGTGAACTGGCTGGTGTATCTCCTGGCTGGATGAACGAGTGAATTCTTTCCCACAATCAGAGCAGGTGAATGGTTTCTCTCTCCTGTGAATTTGCTGGTGTTCCAGCAGTTTGGATGACTGAGCGAACGCTTTCCCACAAACAGAGCAAGTGAATGGTCTCTCTACAGAGTGAACGTGTTGGTGCTCTAGCAGTATCGTTGAGCGAGTGAATCCTTTCCCACATTCAGAACAGGTGAATGGTCTCTCTCCAGTGCAAACTCGCAGGTGTTTCCGCAGGCTGGATGATGAAGTGAATCCCTTCCCACAAGTGGAGCAAGTGAATGGTTTCTCCCCAGTGTGACTGCGTTGGTGTATTCGCAGGCTAGATGACTGACTGAATCCCTTCCCACACAGGGAGCAGGTGAATGGTCTTTCTCCAGTGTGAACTCGCTGGTGGATCCGCAGGCTGGATGACTGAGTGAATCCCATCCCACAATCAGAGCAGGCGAACGGCTTCTCCCCAGTGTGACTGCGTTGGTGCATTTCCAGCTGGGATGGGTAAAGAAATCCCTTCCCGCAATTCTCACATTTCCATAGTCTCTCCCTAGTGTGACTGCGCTGGTGTTTGGACATTGCAGATGAACCTTCACAGTCTCTCCCATTCACAGATGATATGTGTTTCACCCGAGTGTGAATGGTGCTTTTTCTTTCAATGTTCAAGATCCTGAAATAATCAGATTACAAAAAACAGAGTGACTGTCAGATCTGGATGTGGCTTCCTTTGAAGTCTCCAATTGCTAATCAACTTTTCAAACAGAAAACAACTGTTTTGGGAGAAACGAGAAGAACACACAGGTTGTGAAACTGGGAGCAATTAATCTGGTCACTTTTGGAGATAACACTTAGGGAAACTGCTGGATTATCATTAAAACCAAACTGGTTCATAAATCTCCTTCAGGGAAGGGAACCGTTAACAGCGTTTGCACAAAACTACAGAAAGAGAGGCGAGAGAGGCAGACACGAAGCAGAAGCATTTTATAGATCTACACATCAATCCTGTTCCTGTTTTCTTCTCATACCCTTCAATCCCTCTGAAGGTCTAAGAACAACTGCATAGTACCTTGAAAGTCGAGTTGCATGTACACAGGATTGTGAAGAAGGTATCTGGCATGCTTGCTTTTATTGGTCAGTGCGCGACGTATAGGAGTTGGGAAGTCATGTTGCAGCTGTATAGGACATTGGCTAGGCCAGTTTTGGAGTACTGCATTTAATCTTGGTCTCCCTGCTATAGGAAACATGTTGTTAAACTTGAAAGGGTTCAGAAAAAAAACTTTACAAGGCTCTTGCTGTCATTTGAGAGTTTCAGCTATCAGGAGAGGCTGAATAGGCTGAGGCTTTGTTTCCTGGAGCATCAGAGGTGAGCAGTGACCTTACAGAGGTTTACAAAATCATGACGGACATGGATAGGGTGAACAGCCAATGTTTTTTTCCCCAAGTTAGGTGAGTTCAAAACTTGAGCGCATAGGTTTAAGGTGAGAGGAGAAAGGTTTAAAGGGGACCTCTGGACAAATCTTTTCACACAGAAGGTGGCATGTGTATGAAACGAGGAGGTGGTGGAGGCAGGTCCAATTACAACACTTAAAAAGCATCCGGATTGGTACATGAACAGGAAGCGTTTAGAGGGATATGGAGCAAATGCTGGCTAATGGGACAAGATCAGTTTAGGATATCTGGTCAGCATGGATGAGTTGGACTGAAAGGTCTGTTTCAATGCTGTCCAGCTCTACGACTCTATATTATGTCTGACCCCAATTTGCTTGGCATTTCTCTATCGCTCTCTCTTTTAGTAGACAGTCAGGAGTGGTAAGCATTGAAGAATGCAAATGGTACGTTGGCCTTCATAATGAGAGGATTCAAGTACAGGAGCAGGGATATCTTTCTGTAAGGGCTTTGGTGAGCCCACACCTGGAGTATTATGTGCACCTTTGTTCTCCTTTCCTAAGGAAGAATGCCCTGGCTATTGAGAGAGTATAAAGAAGGTTCCCCAGGAACCTGGTATGTCAGGAGATGTATGCAGAGATACTAGATCCTTGATTAATACTCCTTTCTTTTGTCTCTCTGAGCTGTTGACAGCATCAATAAGTAATGTTCTACCTCACAATTCCTGATCTAAATCTGACCCACCTAAGCCTACACTAGTTTAAAACCTCAAAAGGAACTAGCAAAAGCCTTCAAACAATATTTGTTCCAGCTCTGCCCAGTGACATCCGGTCAAGCTTGTACAGGTCCCAGCTCCCACGGAAACAGTCCCAATGCCTCAAGAATCTAAACCCTTCTCTGGCACACCATTTCTCCAGCTACACATTCATCCAATCTATCCTCTTATTCCTGCTCTCGTTAGCACATGGCACAAGGAATAAGTCTAACATTATTAAAAGTCAGAACCTCAAATGTAATGTATCTCCTATCTTCCTATATTCAGCTTTCAGGCCCTCATCCCCTTCTTTCCCTATGTTGTTGATTCCATGACCAATGGCTTTTCACTCTCCAGCTCCACAATATCCAGGCAGCAGGGAGGCAACGTACCATCCTGATTTTTTGCTTTTCTGATGGTCACCCATTCCTTTTCTGCCTGTGTAATCCTCACCTGCAGTGTGATCGACTCACTAACGTGCTGTCCACAACATTCTCAATGTTGCACATGCTCCACAATGAGTCCACCCACAGCTCCAGCTCTAAAATGCAATTAGCCAGTGGCTACAGATAGACATACTTCCTGCACAAGCGACCCCTTATTTCCCACACTATGGGAAAGGAGCATACCAGGGATCTGAGGTTTCCTGTCATGGCTTCTTTGTAACGTAAGTCTGTTACTCCCTTTGAGAGAATTTAATTGAGCTAAGGATCTTCCTTCGCTTCAAACATTTCTATTAAAACTGAAAGCTCCTGCCTTTACAAAAGCTAATAGTACTTCAAAACTGTAAGAAAATCCTCTGCAGTTATCACTTACCAATTAGTTGTTTCCATTGGGAATGTGCCTCTTTCTGAACTGCCCAAACTGAGACTGAGTACCACACTCAATCTTTCGGCTTCACTTTCTCTGTCTCACCTCACTTTCTGTTTTCACCCAACTCCAAAGCACTCTCACTGAGCCAAGCGGCACTCACAGTGTAGCCTTGTCATATTAATTGTCTGCTCACACCTACACTGACCTCAACCTCCTTTACTGTTCCAATGCAGCTCAATGGGAGCTCAGCAAACAGCATCTTATCTTTCAATTCAGCCCCTTACAACCCTCCAGGCTCAACATGGACTTCAGCAGTTTCAGGATCAACAGAGTTGTCAGGATCTGGACCGTTCCACCTGAAAAGGTGCTGGAAGTTGAGTCCATGAGAAATTTTCAAAGGTATTTGAGATTGAGTAATTTTGAATTAAAATCATGAAGCAGGTGTTTGGGACACAATCTGACAGTTCTTTCAAAGAACCGTGGTGTTAATATGGTAAATCTGTGCTCCCTTTCAGGTCAATATGTCCTTCCTCAGATGAAGGGCCCAGAACTGAGCACATACCCCAGCGTGATCTAACCACGAATTTGAACATCTTGCTGTTTTTCGAGCTACAAACATAAAAGGGTATCTCTTCACGCAGACAGAACAGAACAAACCTTCCGCAATTAAATGCCAACGATATTCAGATGGTGATGACTCCGCTGACTGTCAGAACATGTTTTGAGATTCCACTCTGCTAGTTACATTCAATTGATATCCTGTAAAACGAATTCACGAAAGAAAAATCACATGCAGTCCAGGGCAGAAATCTGGAAAAGACAAACATTTCTCTTGGTTCAATTTGTTGTGTAAATGCTCCTTTTCAAATCACCCCGCCCGCACCTAGGAAGAAGCGTGCGCATGCGCGCTGCTGCATCTTTTCACCCCCAACCCCTCCAATAAAGATGGTGGCAGTAACACACGGCTTTTACCTCCGGAGACCCGCAGCCGATTTTTTTTCCCATTTGCTGCCAACGCAAGATCTGGAGTTTCTAATTCGGATATAGAAGCTTACACCGGGTGTTTATGAAACATCCCAGTCCAGGCTAGTTCCATTTTTCTCCGGGTCTCTACTGTGTTCCCACATTTACGATCTCAAACATTTGCACTCACTCACACGCGACAATGCGCTTGCGGCGTATTTGTCTCGCGTCGTATGACTTGCCCCGCCCCTCGTTCTCACTGATTGGTTGGAGGACCAGCTTGGTCCTCCATTCCCGCCCCCTCCTCCTATTGCGCCGTCCCTACCGTCAATCAGCTGGGTCCCGTGGTGATGTGAGATGTTGCCTGCCTCACTGCGGCCCTGGGATGAGCTTCAGCCTTCACAGTGAATGACGTAGTATCACAGACCACAGGAGTCTACTGGCTATTCCGCCCATTAGGACTGTACTCTCTCATTCGAGAATCGCTGCAAATATATCCCAACTCCCCTGACCTTTGCCATAAACCTGCAAACCTTTCCTCAAATAGCGAAATTACATATCTTTTTTGAGAGCAACTGCTAAATCTGCACCCAGCTGACGTTCAAATTCTTCCAGCTTCACATAATTTTCACATTATCACCCTGCATTATTTGCCAATTATCTGAAAGGTATGTTCTGTGGTAACCAAACATTATTAATAATTTCTCTCCCTGCAAATGAAATATACTGGAAACAAATCTACACCTCCATTAAATCACTAAACCTTCTCAGCTTCAAGCAGAATTATCTGAGCTTCTGCTACCTCTCCACAAAACAAAAACCCATCTTAATTTTAATTTAAGTATGGGGGCTCTTTGATGCCCAGACCATTATTAATTGTCCACTTTTATTTGACTTGGACAAAGTGATGGTGAACTGCCTTCTTGAACAGTGCGTGTGCTGTAAGTACACCACAGTGCTGTTTGAATCATCATGTCCTGCAGTCTCACACCACCTCCATAATCTCCTCCAGTCTCACAAGCCTCCCTATCTATGTCATCCCCTCCAGCCTCGTAACTAGATATGGTTAGTAAGTTTGCAAATGACGTCAAAATTGGTGGTGTAGTGCACAGTGAAAAAGGTTACCTCAGAATACAACAGAACCTTGATCAGATGGGCAACGGGCTAAGGAGTGGCAGATAGAGTTTAATTTAGGTAAAAGTGAGGTGTTGCATTTTGAGGAGGCAAACTTATACACTTAATGATAGGGCCCGAGGCAGTGTTTTCGAACAAAGAGACTTAGGGGTGCAGGTGCATTGTTCATTGAAAGTGGAGTCACAGGTAGACAGGGTGGTGAAGGAGTTTGTCACGCTTGCCTTCATTGGCCAGTGCATTGAGTATAGGAGTTGGGAGATCACACTGTGGCTGCACAGCACATTGGTTTGGCCACTTTTAGAATATTGTGTTCAATTCTGGTCTTCCTGCTACAGGAAAGATGCTGTTAAACTTGAAGGGGTTCAGAAAAGATTTACAATGATGTTTCCGGAATTAGAGGATTTGATCGCAACGGAAAGGCTGAATAGGCTGGTGCTTTTTCCCTGAAGCATTGGATGCTGAGGCATGCCCTGAAAGCACTTTATTAAATCATGAGGGACATGGCTAGGGTGAATAGCCACGGCTTTATCCCCAGGGTAGGGGATTCAAAATTAGACAGCATGGGTGTAAGGTGAGAGGGGAGTGATTTAAAAGCGACCACGTGGCAACTGTTTCACAGGGTGGTGCATGTATGGAACGTGATGCCAGAAAACGTGACGTAGGCTGCTACAATTACAACATTTAAAAGAGATATACAGCATGGAAATAGACCCTCTTCTCCAACCTGTCCATGCCAACCAGATATCCTAAGTTAATCTTGTCTCATTGCTAGCATTTGTCCCATTTTCCTCTAAACCCTTCCTATTCATATACCTATCGAGATGCCAAATCTCAGAATATTTCCACAGAGGAGAGCATTGGTCAAATCACTTTCAGAAATGGTGCATGGCAGAGTACTCATAAATGGTGTAGTGGTCAGGGGAGGGGAGGCAAGTGGGGAAGGAATGGAGAACCACAGTGAGGGAGACAGGAAAGGCAAGAAGCTGGGGTTGGGGGCGGGGGGTGAGGAGAGGAATGGAGGTGAGAATAGGGGAGGCCCCAAGTCCTGGATAAGATTCTGCAGAAGTCACACTGGCAGCTCCAGGGCATTTTCTGGGAAACAAGCTCAGAAGGAGCAGAGCACATGCGCGAACCTCTTGCTGATGTAATAGGTAGGCGAGGCTTCAGCTTCCCTGTGGCCAGGAGACTGATGGAGCAAGTGAAACGTCAACCCTCCTGATCCCGCCTCAATAATATACTGACGAATTTTTTGTCATTCTCTCAGATTCCCTTTTATACTCTTCCTCACTCACTCCTCATGCTCCCACATTCATTCCGCTCTCTGGCTCTCACACCCTTCACATTGTGACCATCCCTTTCACACTCTGGCCCCTCTTTCCTACTACGTTTTCTCTCATTCCTGCTACTTTGTCCCCACCACACTACTTTCTCTCTGATCTCCCCCGCCATACACTCTTTCCCCTCAGCTCTCTCTCTCTTTTGCTCTTCCCCATTCTCTTTCTGATTCTCCTTTCTCTCCCTCCAACAATTGAAGTCAATGCGTAATCCAGACTGGGTGGCGTTTTTGGTTTCTTTAACAAGCTAGCAGCTTTCGTAGTTAATTTTTCCCAGTCCCTGTCCCAGATATTACAAGACTCTTTCAGTTCCATTTCAAAACCTCCCTTCATGTTTTTTGTCAGTTCTCTCTCTTTCACACTGTTTTGTTCTGAAATAAATTTCACAGGGCATTAGAAAGGGAGGATTTGCCATTGGGAAGCTCAAACCAAGCATCACATCAGAATCTCAGAGAGGCACCAGGTTTGAGATAATAAAAAAAATCAGATTTTGAACAGAGAATGGACAAGCCCCGTTCACGGTGTGTGTATGGACAAGGCTTCAGTCAATCAGCTGGCCACACAAACCACAAATGCAGTCACACTGTGTGAAAGTGTTGATCTGCTCAGAGTGTGGGATGGGATTCACTAGGTCAGCCCACCTTCCGAGATACCAGTAGGTTCACTTTAAAGAGAGACCATTAATCTGCTCTGAGTGTGGGAAGGGATTCACTCAATCATCCAGCCTGCTGAGACACCAGTGAGTTGACAGTGAGGACAGATCTTTTAAATGTCCAGACTGTGAGAAATGCTCTGAAAGTACCAGCAGTCTGATGTCCCATCAAAGTGTTCACACTGAAGAAAGACCGTTTAAATGCCCAGACTGTAAGAAATGCTATAAAAGTTCAGGAGAAGTGATGTCCTGTCTACAAGTTCACACTGAGAAATGCTTTAAATGCCCAGACTGTGGGATATAATTTAACCATTCTAGCAATCTCACATCACGTCAACATGTTCACTTTGACAAGAGATCATTCAAGTGCTGTCACTCTGGGACTGAGTTCAGGCAATCATCTCAACTCACTAAACACCAGCAAATCCACACTGGGGAGGGTCCATTCACCTGCAGAGATTGTGAGAAGGGATTCACTCAGTCATCCCACCTTCTCACATACCGGCTGGTTCACACTGACAAGAGACCTTTTAAATGTTCAGACTGTGGGAAGTGCTTTAAAAGTTCCAGGGTACTGATTTTCCACCAACATGTTCATACTGAGGAGAGAGCTTTCGCATATCCAGCCTGTGGAAAGTGCTTTACAAGTTCTGGGAGAGGACAATCACATGTTCATATTGAGGAGAGACCGTTCAGATGCTCTCACTGTGGGGCTGGGTTCAAGCGATCAGCTGACGTCATTGTAAACCAATGCAGTTACTCTGGGAAGAGGCCATTCTCCTGCAAGGAGTGTGGGAAGGGATTCACCTGCTCATCCAACCTGCTGAGACACCAACGATATCACAAGTGACTACATGTATCAAATTTTGCTGTTAACCACTTCCTGGAAACAACCATGTTCATCATGCTCATTGATGTTGATAACTTCCATTAATATGTGTTAATATACTGAATAAAAGTCAAATAAATCAGCTCTATGTCAGTCTGTTAAATTTTCACAATAGTTCATTTTGAAGGGGTCTCCTGTCCCCTGTCTCCTCCATCCTCACCTCCAACAAGGATTTGAGGATAGAGGAAAGGTGAACTTCTTTGACACTAAATTGAGACAATCCAATCATCTGCTCCTGCCATTTCCCTGCCTTCCAATAGCTCACTGCGTGCAGAATTCCCATCTTTCTCCAATTACTCTTTGTCCCCCTCATCCTCTGTCAGAGCTCATCTTGTCGACAAGATGCCCCTCCTGCTCCACTGACCCTAACCCCACTATTATGCAGACCATCCAACTTCCCCATGTTCGCCGATATTGTGAGAAGTTCATTTTCTCTTCTCATTCTGTACTTCATGCCTTTGAATTCCTCAATCTTATTTTTAAAAAAACCTTGATTCTCTTCAGCAAACTAACCCTCCATCTCAGACATTCCTTTCCTCTGTAAAGTCCTTGAACTTAGCTCTGATATTACTGACCTAAATACTGTCATCAGGTAAAATCATCCAGAAGCATCGTGATAGTTTTTGCATTGTCACAGACAACACCCAGCTCCAACTCAGTACCATTTCTCTCCATTTCTCCACTGTTACTAAATTATCAGACTGCTCATCCCACATACAATACTGCATGATTAGAAATTTCATAATTCTCTCTGTCCTATCCTGTCCTCCCAACGTCGAAGAGGAGGTCATGAGGGTGTGACAGTAGATGGGACTTTCTGTGCTTGATTAGTCCATCCTTTCCAGTGCCTCTCTGCTTACAAAGAGACCAATGCAATTTTCAACCTTCCGTCAGCCTTCACCTGTCCAATGCAACCATGAGAGGAAACTGTGGGACAGCATCAAATTGAGACTGGGAAAACTTCGTTTCACAGGTTTACAGCTCACAGTCTTGTTTAACCCAGTGAGACATCTCTCTACTGCTGCAAGCAGGACATCTGGCATTTGCCGATTTCAGGTGGGCAACTTTGGTGATGGCTGGATTAAGGACGATCTTGATTCCATTATATGTAGCGTATAGATCTTCATTGTCACAGACAGTTTGGATTTCTTGACATAACCTAATCAAGTGCATCTTTGCATACCATCTCCCTCTCTTCTGCATAATTTTCTTGGCCACTTTCACATTTTGCAGTGTCCTAGCTATTGGGTTTATGTTGCTTCAGTTTGGCTTTGATTTTGGCTTCAATGATAGGTATCATTTCTGCAGGGTAGATCTCAAACAAGTCTTTGATGCAGTCTCCATCTGGTAAAAATGCTTTCTTAAAAACTGAATCTGAAACATTTCCATGCTTTAACCTTGAACCAGCCATAGGCATTTTTAAGGTCAGCACAAATAATCCAAATATTATCAGACTGTCATTCTTGGATGTGATTAACAGCAGAATTGAAGTTCTGCATACATTTGTGAACTTAGAAGTTTTTGAAAAGATTTGTAGCTCAGTTTGTGATGAGGTTGTAAACTTGCTCGCTGAGCTGGTATGTTTGATTGCAGATGTTCCATCACCCTGCTAAGTAGCATCGTCAATTCGCCCCCAGTGAAGCATTGGTGTTCTGTCCTGCTTGTTAATTATATGCCTTGGTTTGCTGAGGTGGTTGGCATCACTTCTGATTTTGTTTTTTTAGTGGTTTGTATGTTGGGTCCAGTTCAATGTGTTTGCTGATGGAATTCCAATAGGAATGCCGGGGCCTCCAGGAATTAGGAGAAGGCAATGGCCTAGTGGTATTATCACTGGACTGTTAATCCAGAGACCCAGACCCCAGATGTTCTGGTGGACCCAGGTGTGAATCCTGCCATGGCGGATGGTAGAATTTGAATACAATAATATTCTGGAATGAAGAGTCTACCGATGACCACGAATCCATTGCCGATTGTCAGGAAAAACCCATCTGGTTCACTAATGTCCTTTAGGCAAGGAAATCGGCCATCATTACCTGGTCTGACCTACATATGACTCCAGACCCACAACAATGTTGACTCTTAAGTACCCTCTGCGCAATGAGGGATGGGCAACAAATGCTGCCTAGCCAGCGACGCTCTCATCCCGTGAACGAATAAAGGAATTCCCTGGCATGTCTCTATTTGGCTTGTTCTATTCTGGATGCGTTGTCCCAGACGAATTCCTGTCCTTTGTCCGTGTGTTCTGAGACCAGTGGTCGTGTCTTTTGTCTGTATCGGACACTAGGACCCGATTGAAACCAGACAAATCAAACCCCGCTCAGTCAATTTTACGTCATTACGCTGGGACGTTAGCGCGCTGCTCTCCGTGATCTAAGATGGCGGGTATTAACATGAACTTCTTCCCGGGAACACGAATTCGGGACTTACAGTTTGTTAATAGCGGTTTGACGTATTTGATAAGTGTTTGTAAACACTGCCTGTCCTCACCATCCGCCGGCTCCAGCACTTCCTCCGCGGTCTCGCATCCTCACCGCCTGCAGATGAGAAAAAAACAGCATCTCTGCCCAGCGTCATATCTATCACTGCGCATGCTTGAGACATTGGATGGGACTGCGCCTGCGCACCACTCTTTCCGCGGCCTGAATCAGGGACATTCACCATCGCGCGGCATGGTGGGTAGGTATACTTTAATTGGTTCAATTTTGATAGCTACGATGTGGACTGAGGATGACTATCAAAAAGATTAGAAAGAATATTACACTGAAATATGCTTGCACAAAGGACAGAGAAAGGGAATGGATCCTACAACACTTGCAGGAACATATTCGGCAGCTTTTCTTTGGTTCATTCCGAGGATTTTAGCCTTGCTGACTGGGCCAGCCTTTATCACTCGTCCGTAATAGACCAACAAGGTGACAGAGAGATGCTTTCTTGAATCACTGCAGTCCATTTGTGTGGGACGACGACCATGTTGTTCGGAACAGAGTTCCCAGGTCTTTGTTCCTGAATATGATTTCAGTCCAGTGAGAAAGGAGGCAGAACTGGACCTGGTCCTTGGGAATGAGGAGGGCCAAGTGTCAGTTGAGCATTTAAGGGTTGGTAATCATTGTGCCAAATGTTTTAGGCTTATGATTTTGAAAATGATGCTGAACAATCCAGAGTACAAATAATTAACTTGGGAAAGCTAATTTAGTCCTCTTAGACAAAGGGTCAATAGTATTGGGCATAACTTTAACTGAAGAGCTTTGCGGGGATTTGAGGGGAAAATATTTCACCCGGAATGTGGCGGGGGTCTATGATGCACTTCCTGGGAGATGAGTTGATGTGGGTAACCTCACAACCTTTACAAAGTACTTGAATGAGCACTTGAAATATCATGATGTTCAAAGCTATGGGCCAAGTGCTGGAAATTGGTACAAGCATAGATTTAGTTTAGATTTGACTGACTTGATGGACCAAAGGGCCTCTTCTGTCTTGTATGGTCTCTGATTCTCATTTCAATGGAGTAAGAACCACCCTGTGCCAAAAATAATTGGGTCAACTGTTGGCAGGTAAGGAAATGTAGCTGAATAATTGGCTACCTTTGAAAAAGAAGTATTTCAGACACAATCAAAAAGTAGGGCAAAGGAAGTCAGAGCTTCATAAATGACAAGAGGTAGAAATGAACATAAGTAAGAAAAAGGGTAGGATGGGGGAGTAGGTCTGGGTGGGGATGCTGTTCAGGAGGTCAGTGTGGACTCAATAGGTCAAATGGCCTGTTTCTACACTGTAGGGATTGTATAATGGTAAAAAGTGTGTTTGTTATGGACATGAGGAGAAAATACAGTTGAGAACCAGATTGAATTTAGAAGACTCAGAGGGGAGTGGGGAAGAATGATAGAGAAGCAAAACAAAAGTTGGGGGAGTATGAAATGAGACTAGCAGTTAATTTGGAAGGGAATACAACCTCCTTTATGGACATATAAACAGTAAAAGAGTGGCAAAAGAGGTGTTTTCACAGAGGCAGTGCTGTAAAAATTTGTGTCCCTCAGGGTTGGCTGTGGGACAATTTCTCTTCTTGAGAGAAGAAAGTGATCTGAAATTGAGCAAACTGAGCATAAGATCAAAATCTCCAGAGAACACTGAAGCAATTATTGATACCATAGAATAGAATCCCTACAGTGTGTAAACAGGCCATTCAGCCCACTGGGTCCAAACTGACCTTCTGAAGATCATTGCACTTAGTTCCACCACCCCTGCATTTCTCATGGCTAACCCACCTAGCCAGCACGCTATGGGCAATTTAGCATGACAATCCACCTAACCTGCACACCTGTGGACCATGGGAGGAAACCTACGCAGACACGGGAAAAATGTACACAGTCCACACAGACAGTTGCCTGAGGATGGAGTTGAACCCAGGTCCCTGCTGCTGTGAGGCGGCCATGCTAACCACTGAGTCACTGTGCCGCCCCAAGTAGGATAGTTGTCAACTTCAAAAGAAAAACACAAAATACTTGCATTGGTGTAACATCAGTCACAATCTCAGAGCATCACACTATATTTCACTGGACAGTCTGTGGAAGGACCATATGGCAGGGTCAAAACATCACTGCCACATATCTTTATCCTCCTAACATAGTCTGTTCTAAACTTGGACACATCTGTCAATTCTCTCCTCAATCTCAGTTTCTCCAACCCAATCTTGCAATGAAATTTTCTCTTCCTTCAGATCGTGATGTGAATTTACATTCTGGTCTGATTTTAAATGCTCCTTTCACAGGCAAATTCCAACCAAGAGATAAGTTTGTCACTGAATTTAAATTTTGACTGATACTTAACGATTTTCGTAATCTCATTTTACAGGGACCTGAAGATTTTTGAAAACTGGGATTTTTTTCTTACAACGATTCTTGTGCTATCTGTCCAGCTTCAACATCCAACAGGAGAATTTAAATTTGAAAACAAAAAAATTGTTTCAGAAGTTAGTATTGTTGGGCCTCCATCTACAATTTACTGCTTTTTGTGCTATGCTGTTGTTCCATCCCTCTGGGTTGCTGCGAGTCTCTTAGTGTTTCTGAATCCATGTCCATTCCTTTGTTTTACCCCTCTTGCCCTGATCAGCTCTTTGCCATGTCCAACTTGCTTACCTTTAATAGTGGTATTTTGCTGTGGATGTTTACCAATTGTGTCCAAATGGTGTTTCCATTCCTGTTCATCTGCTGACTAAGTGTTGCTGATTCACCAGTTTTATCTTCCCTTGGTCAGCAATTTTATTTCCTGAATGTGTGATCTTTCTCTTCAACTTCTGAGCTAATGTGAACCATTATATCCTGTACTATTTTCATTCACTTTATTCATTCTGCACGTTCTCAAATGTTAACTCTGTGCTGCCTTCATACCAATACTTCCTGAGCTGCTGAGCTTTCCAGTCTTTCATTTTTTGCATTGTTTTAGCTGTTCAATTTGTGCAGTATTTTCCTAGTTTTATTCCAGGGCTTGTTCATAGAACCAAGCCCATAAACACAGATAGAGCAATTAAGAGCTGGTTTGCAGTATAACAGTTTTGATTCCAGAGGTTTACTTCCTGTCCTCGTTTACATCCTTTTTTCACAGAATCATGGAATGATCACAGAACAGAAGGACACCATTTCATACATCATCAGAGCAAATCGGCGAGTTTCACTCCCCTCCCTTTCATTGTAACCAAAGGAGGTTTCTCCCCCCACTGGACCTAATTGTTGGGAATGAGCAGGGCGAAGTGTCACTTAAGTATTTAAGGGATGATAATTATTGTGTCAGAAGGTTTAGGCTGATAATGAAAATGATACTGAACAATCCAGAGTAAATAATTAACTCAGGAAAGCCAACTTCATCTTCTCAGTTGAAGGGTCAATAATAAGGGGGCATAACTTTAATGTGAAAGGCTTAGAGGGGATTTGAGGGGAAAATAATTCATCCAGAGGGTGGTGGGGGTCTGTAACACACTTCAGGTGCCTATCCAGTTCTCTTGTGAAAGCATTAGATGAATTAGTTTGAGTTGGAACAGAGATGAAGGAGGAGTGCTGGGTTTAATCCTCAAGCCTTTGGAACACAGTCAAGTCCAGGAATTCCTAATATTTAATTGTCAAAGGATGGTAGGTATTCAGGGACATCAGGTTGTGAAATGGACACTGTGCATTCAATCTAATAAGATGCTATGTTAGGAACAAGCATTTCTGTAGATGCCTTTAATTCATTTTTATATGTATGGTCATGTATACAAATGTGTGTGTGCTTTGAAAATTGTTCTTGAGATTTGATCATCACCAACATGATCAGCAGATTATATTGTCACCCCCTAATTTCCTGTGGACCTTCTTGAATGCTGCAGTCCATTTTGTGATTAAAAGACATTCTGATTAAGTGGTCTGTTTTAGGGAGTATCTTCAAGAATGGTGTGACCTGGAGAAATTTAAGCAGGAGTTTCCAGTGCCTGGGGCCTTGTCAGCTAAATGCATGGCCACTGATGGTGGAATGATTTAAAATCTGGAAAATTCAAGAAGTTGGAATTAGATGAACACTGATATCTCTGAGTGCTGGAAGAGATTAGAGAGATAGGGATGATGGCAGCCAGGAAGGGATTTAAAAACAATGCTGAGATTTTTAAATTTATGGTGCTTTGTAAGCAGAGAGCACAGTGGTGATGGGTGAACAAGAATTGGTTCAAGTAAGAAAATGAACAACAGAATGAGGATAACCTTGAGATTACAGGGAAGATGAATGTCGGAGGCTGGCCAAGAATGTGTTAGAACATTTAACTCTACAGGTAACAAGGAACTGGGTGACAGTTTCAGAGTTGAGACCAGGGCAGAGTTAGGTGCTGTCATTGAGCTGGAAATAGACAGTCTTGGTGATGAGGGTTTGTGGTCACTGTCTTAGCCTCTCTTTCATCACACCAATGCGCTCTTGTTGCCATGGTTCCCGCTCTTGTCCCTCGCTCTCACTATTACCACTCGATACTCCCTCCCTCACTCCTAATTCTTTCTCCCCACTGAGTACCCCACCCTCATGCTCCCCTGCTTTGTGGCCTCTGCTGTCCCCCACTCTTTCTTTCTGTGCTGTCTGTTCTCCAATAGAAGTCAGAGATTTGCATGGCAGGTTCCGTTCCCTGGGTTCCATTCCCTGGAGGAAATTAGTGATCTATTGGGTTTTTATGAAAATCTAGCAGCTTTCATGTTCACTGTTTCCTCATGAACACCCCATAAATTACCAGATTCATTCAGCTCCATTTCTAAACTGGCCTTTACGATTTTGTGTTCTTTCTATTTTAAATCATTTGTTTCTGTTTCTGTCCTCATTAAATTTCACAAGAGTAATCAAAGGTAGGATTCACAATCGGAAAATTCAAGGCAAATATCATATCAGGATCTGACAGTCATCCGATTTAGTGTAACCTGAATGCCATCAGATTTTGAGTATGGAAGGAGAAAGCACCGTTCTCCCTGGGGAGAAACTATACTCATGTTCTGTGTGTGGACAAGGCTTCAGTCAAACATTTGACCTCTCTCAAACCACAAGCGCAGTCACACTGGGAAGAAACCATGGAAATGTGGGGATTGTGAGAAAAGATTCAGATCCCCATCGGAGCTGGAAATTCACCAACACAGTCACACGGGGAAGAGGCCATTCACCTGCTCCAGGTGTGGGAAGGGATTCACTCAGTCATCTACCCTGATGTCCCACCATCGTGTTCACGCTGAGGAGAGACCTTTTGTCCGGATTGTGGGAAGGGCTATAAAAGTTTTGGGGAACAGATGTGCCACCAACGTGTTCACACAGGAGAAAGACCTTTCAAATGCCCAGACTGTGAGAAGTGCTATAGAAGTTCCAGCAATCTGATGTCTCATCGGCGTGTTCACACTGACATGAGACCTTTTAAATGCACAGACTGTGTGAAGTGCTTTAAAGTTCTCGGGTACTGATGAACCATCAATGAGTTCATACTGACAAGAGACCTTTTAAAGCCCACAGTGTGGGAATTGCTTTAAACGTTCAGGGGAACTGGTACGCCAGCAATGTATTCACAATGAGGAGAGACCTTTTAAATGCCCGGACTGTGGAAAGTGCTGTAAAAGTTCAGGGGAACTAATGTCCCATCAGCAAGTTAACACTGATGAGAGACCTTTCAAATGTTCGAACTGTGGTAAATGCTCTGAAAGTTCAGGGGATCTGATGCCCCACCAATGGGTTCACACTGACAAGAGACCTTTTAACTGCCCAGACTGTAGGAAATGCTTTAAAAATTCTGGGAAACTGATTTCTCACCAACGCGTTCACACTGACAAGAAACCTTTCAGATGCTTCCAATATGAGAATAGGTTCAGGTCGTCATCCAAGCTCACTGTCCACCAGTGAACGCACAGTGGGGAGAGGCCGTTCTCCTGTAGAGAGTGTGGGAAGAGATTCACTCAGTCATCCATCCTACTGAGATACCAGCGAGTTCACACCGGGGAAAGAGCAGACTTTTAAGTACAAGACTGCAGGAAGTGCAATAAAAGATCTAAGGCACTGATGTCCCATCAATGTGTTAACATTGCAGAGAGACCATTCACATGCTCTCACTGTAGGACTGGGTTCAGGCAAACATCTCAGCTCATTGTACCCAGTACATTCACTCCCTGGAGAAGCCTGTTCACCTGCTCTGAGGGTTCACTCAAACTTTTCACCTGCTGGGTCAGCAGTGAGCTCAATTGTGACCTTGGGAATGGATTTTACTGTTCATCACATGCAGGGCTGAACCATGTTTATTGATTTTTTTTTCTGCTGATATCAGTACATTTCACTTCAACTTTTGGTATTAGAATTTTGAGTAGCAGTTACATGGATCAGCCTTTCACTAAACTGTGTTGAGGCTTTTCAATATTTCTAACACAAGCACTGTTCTCACTGACAAGAGGTCCTTTAAATGTCTGTGTCTGTGAGAAAGGCTGTAAAAGTAAACAGGATCTGTTGACACAGCAGTGAGTTCACACTGGGGAGGGGTCATTTGTCTGCTATGTGTATGAGAAAGGATTTACTGATTCAGCACAGCTTCTGTTACAGCAGCGTGTTCATACTGAGGACAGACTGTTCACTTGCTCCACATGTGGGAACAGTTTCATTCATCAATCCCGGCTCACTGAACATCAACATGTTCACGCTGATCAGCAACTTTTGAAATGTTCTGACTGTGGAAAGAGCTTTAAAAATGAGAAATATCTGCTGAAGCACCATTGAATTCACACTGGGGTGCAGCCATGTACCTGCTTTGTGTGTTTATAACCTGAAACAGAAGGGAAGGATAGAGCTGGGGTGGCTCAGTGGTTTACTGCCTTACAGGACCAGTGACCTGGGTTTGATTCCAGACTTGGGTGACTGTCTGTGTGGAGTTTGTATGCTTCCTGCATCTGTGTGCATTTCCACACCGTCTAAAGATCTGCAAGTTAGGTGGATTGGCCATGCTAAAAATTGCCCTGTTGTGTCCAGGTCAGGTGGGTTAGCCATGGTTAAAAACCTATATGGGACACTCTTCAGGTCATTGCAGACTCAGTGGGCTGAAGGGCCTCTTTCTGCTCTATGATCCTTGGGGGAACCACCAAATTTAAGGAGTTGGAGGAAAGGGAGGTGGAAGATCGTGCAGTAATTTACTCAGACAGTGCAGGGAAGTGTTGCTTTATTTTTCAGGATGGGTGATAATTTGGATTTCAAGGGGAGCAGGACAGAATAAGAGAGAATCATTAACAATAACAGCTAATGTGGAGATCTTGATTTGTCAGTAGTTTAGTAGGATTAGAGTTAAGGGTCTACGAGGTGGGGTCTCATGGACATGATGAGCTTTGTCAGAGAGATCAGAGAGAAGCTGGACAAAGACGAGTGTTCAGGGTTCAGACGCTTTTAGAGGCAGTTTTAACCAATGAGGTAGTGGAATGAAGGGAAACAGCAGAAGCAGCCAATCAGATTGATACAATCTCGGTAAGAAAGAAGCTCCGTGATCTCCTGACACTTGCTGTTGTTGGTGAGGATGGAAGAGACAGGGGAGAGGGTCAGCCCTTCCAAACCAACTCCTCAGAACAAATGAGTGAGAGATATTAAAATGATTTTCCACTCCGTGTTTAATTATAAAGCTGATTTATTTCACTTTTATCCAGAATGTTAACAGCTAAAACTGAGCTGGAGTTTATTAATCAATGAACATGGTTCAGTCCTGGATGTGACAAACAGCAAAGTCCAACTCCTGTTGTTATGTGTGAACTTGCTGGTGAATCAGCAGGTGGCTTTCCAAGTGAATCCTTTCCCACACTCAATGCAGGTGACTGGCCTCTTCCCCAGTGTGAATTCGCTGGTGCTCAATGAGGTAAGATGATCACTTGAACACAATCCTGCAGTGAGAGCATCTGAAAGGTCTTTTTTGAGTGCGAACACGTTGATGGATCATCAGACAGCGAGTAGTCTTATAGGGTTACCACAGTCTGGGCAGTTAAAAGGTCAGTCCCCAGTGTGAGAGTGTTGATGGGTCATCACTTCCTCAGAACTTTAAAAGCATTTTCTGCAGATTGGACAATTAAAAAGATGTCTACTCAGTGTGCACTCGCTGGCATGTCGCGAGTTGGGATGACCGAATGAATCCCTTCCGACACTCATTGCAGGTGAATGGCCTCTCCCCAGTGTGAATTCTTTGGTGGACAGTGAGATGAATGCCTGAACCCAGTCCTGCAGTGACAGCACCAGAACGGTTTTTCCTCAGTCTGAACACGTTGATGGTGCATCACTTCTTGAGAACTTATAAAGCATTTCCTGCAGATTGGACAATTAAAAGGTCTTTCCTCAGTGTGAACTCACTGGTGTCTTGTGACATGCGATGACCGAACAAATCCATTCCCACACAAAATGCAGATGAATGGCCTCTCCCCAGTGTGAATCCTCTGGGGGACAGTGACTTCAGATGATGTTTTGAACCCTTTTCCACAGTTAGAGCATCTGAATGGTCTCTCCTCAGTGCGAACATGTTGATGAGACACCAGTTTCCCAGAACATTTATAATATTTTCTGCAGTCTGTACATTTAAAAGGTCATAAGTTGGGATGACAGAATGAATCCTTTCCCACATTTGGAGCAAGTGAATGGCCTCTCCCAAGTGTGACTGCGCTGATGGATCACAGTCCCAACATTTCCACAGTCTCTCCGCAGTATGACTGCACTTGTGTCCAGGATGAATGACTGGCTGAAGTCTTATCCGCACACGAAATGCGTCGGGTTTCTCTTCACTGTGAACTGTAACTGTGCTTGTTCCTTCCATGTTCAAAATCCAGTTACATTCTAGTTGTGATAAATTTGAAACCTCCATCGGATTCTGAGG